GAGAAAGCCTGTGTTTATACCTTCCCATTTTTTATACTTGTTCCTCTTCTTCCTTTTCATCTGTCTGTCTCTGTCTATCTCTGTCTGTCCGTCCGTCTGTTACTCCTGTCCTTCTATGGTCACTGATGGATTGAGGAGTGACCATCAGCCACGCCCGACTGTGAACTTCAGGTCAAGACAACACTAAACACCTCACCTCAGTAATTGTCACTTAGTCCTACGGTGGTGTAAACATTGTTAGTGTGTGTGTGTGGTGGTTGGGTGGTTGGGTTGGGTTGACGTGGTTATAAATAAAAGCAATTCTGTATGGCTAGAATTTGGTCTTGTGTGTGTGTGTGTGTGTGTGTGTGTGTGTGTACAAGGCAATATCAGATCGTCTTTGTTTATTGATATATCATGCAACACTGAGCTCTGGCAGCTGTTGTGTTATTAGAGCTCTACCAGGCCTGAAGAGTGTCATGGGAATCGTCACTCGCTCGCTCAAGAGTAGATGATCAGTGTATAAATGTATGTATGGATGTATGTATGTATGGATGTATGTATGTATGGATGTATGTATGGATGTGTGTGTATGTATGGATGTATGTATGGATGGATGGGTGGATGGTTGTATTTATGTATGAGTGGATGATTGTATGTATGGAATGGATGGATGGGTGTATGTACTGTATGTATGGATGTATGGATGGATGGATGGATGGATGTATGTATGTATGTATGTATGTATGTATGTATGTATGTATGTATGTAAAAAATGAATATGATTGTAATACATTTTTTCGCGCGTGTGTTCTTTAGGTGTATTTTTAAAAGTAAGCTGATTACACACACACACACACACAGTAAGGTTTTGGTGCAGGGCAGGAAGTAAAGATGACACCAGCAGATGTTCCTTACTGCGGGCGTGCGTAGGGGGGGCATGGGGGGCATGGGGGGGAGGATGAAGATGACCCCCTCCTTCCTCATCCTCCTCTTTCTCCTCCTCGTTTCCCTCACCCTCCCCTCTCTTCCTCACTCCCTCTCTCTCCCTCACTATCACCTTTTCACCCCTCTCTTTGCCCCATCCCCTTCTCTATCCCCCCTCTTCCCTCTCACCCCTTCTCTACATACTCCAAACACCCTCTCCCTCCTCTCTCCTCCGCCCTCTCCTCCCTCTTTTTTTGTCTCCCTCTCCCTCTCAGCTGGTAGAGGGGTTATGCCAGATGAGGTCATAGTGTGATGGATAGGTGGCGCCAGGTCCCCTCTGACAGGTCGCCATGACAACCAGGTGAGGGAGTTAGGTTACCTGGGTGAGGGGTCTAGGTGGTCTGGATGGGGGTCTAGGTGAGGTCTGGGTGAGGGGGTCTGGGTGGGGGTCTGAGTGGGGTCTGGGTGAGGTCTGGGTGGGGGTCTGGTGGGGGGTCTGGGTGGGGGTCTGGTGAGGGGTCTGGGTGGGGTCTGGGTGGGGGTCTGAGTGGGGGTCTGGGTGGGGTCTGGGTGGGGGTCTGGGTGGGGGTCTGGGTGAGGGGTCTGGGTGAGTCTGGTGGGGGTCTGGGTGAGGGTCTGGTGAGGGGTCTGGGTGGGGTCTGGGTGGGGTCTGGAGTGGGGGGTCTGGGTGAGGGGTCTGGGTGGGGGTCTGGGTGGGGGTCTGGGTGGGGGGTCTGGGTGGGGTCTGAGTGGGGGTCTGGGTGAGGTCTGGGTGGGGGTCTGGTGAGGTCTGGGTGGGGTCTGGGTGGGGGTCTGGTGGGGTCTGGGTGGGGGGTCTGAGTGGGGGGTCTGGGTGAGGGTCTGGGTGGGGGGTCTGGAGTGGGGGGTCTGGGTGGGGGGTCTGGGTGGGGGTCTGGGTGGAAGGGTCTGGGTGGGGGTCTGGGTGGGGGTCTGGGTGAAGGGTCTGGGTGGTCTGGGTGAAGGGTCTGGGTGGGGGGGTCTGGGTGGGGGGGGTCTGGGTGGGGTCTGGGTGGGGGTCTGGGTGGGGTGGGTGTGGGGGTCTGGGTGGGGGTCTGGGTGGAAGGGTCTGGAGTGGGGGGTCTGGGTGGGGGTCTGGGTGGGGGTCTGGTGGGGGTCTGGGTGAGGGTCTGGGTGAGGGGTCTGGTGGGGGTCTGGGTGTGGGGGTCTGAGTGGGGGTCTGGGTGAGGGTCTGGGTGGGGGGTCTGGTGAGGGTCTGGGTGGGGTCTGGGTGGGGGTCTGAGTGGGGGGTCTGGGTGGGGGTCTGGGTGGATGTGGGGGTCTGTTGAGGGTCTGAGTGGGGGTCTGGGTGGGGGTCTGGGTGGGGGGTCTGGGTGGGGGTCTGGGTGGGGGGTCTGGGTGGGGGTCTGGGTGGAGGGTCTGGGTGGGGTCTGGGTGGGGTCTGGTGGGGAGTGTCTGTGAGGTCTGGGTGGAGGGTCTGGGTAGGGGTCTGGGTGAGGGTCTGGGTGGGGGGTCTGGGTGAGGGGTCTGGGTGGGGGTCTGAGTGGGGTCTGAGTGGGGGTCTGGGTGGGGGTCTGGGTGGGGGTCTGAGTGGGGGTCTGGGTGAGGGTCTGGGTGGGGGTCTGGGTGAAGGGTCTGGGTGGGGGGTCTGGGTGGTGTTGTGTTGTTGTGGTACTTTGTCTGTTGGTTTGTCTGTGAGGGTGGGGAATGTGTCTGGAGGGGTGAGGTGTCTGTGTGGAGGGTGAGGAATGTGTCTGGAGGGGTGAGTGTCTGTGGAGGTGGGGAATGTGTCTGGAGGGGTGGGGTGTCTGTGTGGAGGGTGAGGAATGTGTCTGGAGGGGTGGGGTGTCTGTGTGGAGGGGTGAGAGTGTGTCTGGAGGGGTTGTCTGTGTGGAGGGGGTGAGGAATGTGTCTGGAGGGTGAGGTGTCTGTGTGGAGGGTGGGGAATGTGTCTGGAGGGGTGGGGTGTCTGTGTGGAGGGTGAGGATGTGTGTCTGGAGGGGTGGTGTCTGTGTGGAGGGTGAGAATGTGTGTCTGGGGGGTGAGGTGTCTGTGTGGAGGGTGAGGAATGTGTCTGTGAGGGGTGGGGTGTCTGTGGAGGGTGAGGTGTGTCTGGAGGGGTGGGGTGTCTGTGTGGAGGGGTGGGAATGTGTCTGGAGGGGTGAGGTGTCTGTGGAGGGTGGGGATGTGTCTGGAGGGGTGGGGTGTCTGTGTGGAGGGGTGAGGAATGTGTCTGGAGGGTGGGGTGTCTGTGTGGAGGGTGGAATGTGTCTGGAGGGGTGAGGTGTGTCTGTGGGAGGGTGGGGAATGTGTCTGGGTGGGGTGTGTGTGGAGGGGTGGGGAATGTGTCTGTGGGGGTGGGGTGTCTGTGTGGAGGGTGAGAATGTGTCTGGAGGTGGTGTCTGTGTGGAGGGTGAGGAATGTGGAGGGTGGGGTGTCTGTGTGGAGGGTGAGATGTGTCTGGAGGGGTGAGGTGTCTGTGTGGAGGGGTGAGGAATGTGTCTGGAGGGTGGGGTGTCTGTGTGTGGAGGGTGAGGAATGTGTCTGGAGGGTGGGGTGTGTCTGTGTGGGGGTGAGGAATGTGTCTGGGGTGTGGGGTGTCTGTGTGGAGGGTGGGGAATGTGTCTGGAGGGGTGAGGTGTGTCTGTGTGGGGGGGGTGGGGAATGTGTGGAGGGGTGAGGGGTGTCTGTGTGGAGGGGGTGAGATGTGTCTGGAGGGGTGGGAGTGTGTCTGTGGAGGGTGAGGAATGTGTCTGGAGGGGTGAGGTGTCTGTGTGGAGGGGTGAGGAATGTGTCTGGAGGGGTGAGGAATGTGTGTCTGGAGGGTGAGGAATGTGTCTGGAGGGTGAGGTGTCTGTGTGGAGGGGTGAATGTGTCTGGAGGGGTGAGGTGTCTGTCTGGAGGGGTGAGGAATGTGTCTCTAGAGGTGGGGTGTCTGTGTGGAGGGGGTGAGGGAATGTGTCTGGAGGGGTGAGGTGTCTGTGTGGGGGGGTGAGGAATGTGTCTGGAGGGGTGAGGTGTCTGTGTGGGTGAGGAATGTGTCTGGAGGGGTGAGGTGTCTGTGTGGAGGGGTGGGAATGTGTCTGGAGGGGTGGGGTGTCTGTGTGTGGAGGGGTGAGGAATGTCTATGGGGAAAAAATCTCATAGGGAAAAAGTGTCTAGGGAGAGGGCGAGAAGAGTGTGTCTATGGATTCTAGTGGAAAAAATAAAGATATACAGTATGTACCGGTATCTTCTCCTCTCTCTCTCTCTCTCTCTCTCATGAGGGCTAGCGAGAGAGAGAGGAACAAGCTGGTGCATGGATCGTTTGGACGGGCTGGGTGATGTAAATCCAGGTCGAGTTCTGGTGAGGGGTTAGGGGGGATGGGGAGGGACGAGAAGGGGGTTGATGGGGCTTAGAAGGTGGGGGGGATGGGGGGTGAGAAGGAGGGGGTCTGAGAGAGAAGGAGGAGGAGAATAGAAGTCTATTTATCTATCTTTACACACACACACCGTTTATAATGACGAAATAACAATAAAGTAAATCATTAATAAATAAATAAACAAAGATATATGCACTCCAGTCCTTAACTGCTCCAACTACCTCCTCCCCTCCGGACGACACACCCCCATAATGAAGGAGAGTTTAATGGCCTCTCGCACCTGTAAAGCACCGGTGATCGCTCTTAATGGTGGCGTCTCTCACGGATACCTTTTCATTTTTTTCTGGAGTTTCGTCAGGTTGGCAGGTATCGTGTGTCGTCAGGAGGGTGAAAAGATGCTTGGAAGGTTTTATGATGGTCTGAAGGTGAGGTGGTTCTTGGGTTATGGGGAGGGTGAGGAGGAGGTAGTGTGTAGAGGAGGGAAGAGTGTTTAGTGTTTGTGGAAGGGGAGGGGTGGGAGAGAAGTGTGTAGGGAGGAAGAGTGTTTAGTGTTTGTGGAAGGGGAGGGAGGTGGGAGGGAAGTGTGTGTATGTGTAAGATGAGTTACCCCACCACCAAGCATCATGCCTTCCACCCATTCCATTCAATTCCTCTCCTCCCTTCCTCCATCTTCTTCTTCTCTCCTCCCTTCTCCTTCCTACCTCCCTCCCTCTCTCCCCTCTCACCATCCCTCTCTCCTTCCCTCCCAGCCACCTCTCACCTCAAAGACTACTAACTTGGTCTCTTTCTCCTGACACTTACCTGAGCTACTAATGTCCCCGTGAGGCAGAGAGTTTGGTGGGGGAGGCGGGAGGATTTAGTTGCTCACTTTCTCTTGATAGCTCTGCCTCCTTGATTGCTCTGACCCCGCTTCCTTGTGCCCGCCTTCCTATCTGGTTTAATGGGTTTAACTCTGGTTTTAGCTGTAGTTGGAGGCACGTTATAGCTCTTGGTTTAGTTGTGGTTTATTTATGTGAGTTTTTTATGGTTTGTTATTCTTAGTCATTTTTTTGGGAGGGTGCTAGGATTGGGTGTTTTTCGTCCGTCTCTCTGTCTGCCTTCTGTTTGTCTGTCTGTCTGTCTGTCCACTCTTTCATCCTTCTGTTTTTCTAACCTAAACCTAACCTAACTAACCTAACCTCAACCTAACCTAACCTAACCTCAACTAACCTAACCTAACCATTTGTAAGTCAGGTGTATCAGTTATGTCTCTTCTCCCTACATTATTGTCTAATTCTGTAGTTATTTTACATTTATTTGTTTCTTATTTTCTCTGTTATTATCTCTCTCTCTCTCTCTCTCTCTCTCTCTCTCTCTCTCTCTCTCTCTCTCTTTTCTCTCTCTCTCTCTCTCCTAAGCAGTAAGACTAGAGTGTTTATTTAATAAGAGGAGGTGTAGGTGGTGAGGAGGAGAGGTTCAGGGAGGTGTGTGGGGGAGGAGGTCCGGGGAGGTGTGTGGGGGGGGAGGAGGTCCGAGGAGGTGTGGGAGGTTGGGGGGGTGAGAGGGACTGGGGAGGTGGAAGGAGGGGGTGGGGTTAGAGTTACCTGCTGTCAGAATCTATCAGTGTCCCTCCTAACCCCTCCCTCCCTCCCTCTCTCTCTCTCTCTCTCTCTCTCTCTCTCTCTCTCTCTCTCTCTCTCTCTCTCTCTCTCTCTCTCTCTCTCTCTCTCTCTCTCTCTCTCTCTCTCTCTCTCTCTCCTCTCTCTCCTCACTTTTCCAGCCCTCTCTTCTTCCCTCTCCTCCCTCATCTTTTTTCCTCCTACGCTGGTCTCGCTCTCTCTCGTTCTCTCTTCCTACTCTCCCTCCTTCTCTCTCTCTGCCTCCCTCCTCTGCCTCCCCTAACCCCTCCCTTCATCACCCATCAACGTACAATACCTGAGATGAAAAAAAACAACAAAAACAAAAACAGATAAACATACGCCATTATCACCGTCAGCAAGCTCAATGAATGCTCTTACTGACTAATTAACATGACTGACTGACTGACTCACATATAAAACTGACAGAGATTAAAAGAAAATAATTATATATATCCCACTGTCTTAGCCACCCCACCCCCACACACACACCCCACCCACACACCCCCCCACCCACCACCCCCATCTCCCCACCCCCACCCCCCACCCCCCACCCCCCACCACCCCACCCCCACCCCCACCCCCCACCCCACCCCCCACCCCCACCCCCACACCCACACACCTGTTTGGAGAACTAATAATTAATCGGTGTGTCACGGTCTTTCGTATTCATGTTAATTAATGTTTTCTTCTTCCTTCGACAGGTAAGACTCAAGATGGCGTCCCATACGAGGCCAGACACTTATATAAGTAGGTGAAGAGACAGTTAAGTAAGTGGAGGAAGTAGATAAGTGAGTAAGGGAAGGAAGTGCTTGTAAGTGAGTTAAAGTGGGTCATTAAGTGGTTTTAAGTCATTTTTATTTGAAGTTAATTGTCTGTTATGAAGGTAAGTCACTTTTAGCTCTCTTTTGTCGTGCTAAGTAACCTTTAGTTGTCTGTTATTAAAGCTAAGTCACTTTATGTGTCTATTATCAAAGTTAAGTCACTTTTACCTGTCTATTAACAAAGCTCAGTCACCTTTAGCTGCCTTATCAAGCTAAGTCCTTTATATCCTTTTATCAAGCTAAGTCACTTTTCCTGCGTAGTTATCAAGGTCATTCCATTTACTGGAAAGTTTTCAGCTGTGAGACATTTGGTGATCGTTATTATTCGCTAAAAGCTTTATCATATCGCTGTCGTAAGCTGGAATCAAACATTTTAGCTGCCTAAGTTTTTTTTAAGCTGTAGCCAGTTTATTGTTAGCTGTACATCAATTTAGTTACAATAATTATCAAGAAAAACGACTGTAGCTTTTTTATTCGTCAACCAGAAGAAATTTTAGCTTAGAAATTATGAAGCTGTCGTGTCGAAAAATTGTTTTAGGTACTTAGATAAACTGAAGATATCCTTGAATTTTTTAAGCTGTAAGACATTTGAGCTTTGTGATCATTAAGCTTAAGCCGTTTTGGTTTATCAGTCGTCGAAAAACTGTTTTAGGGATATAGTTAAGCTGAAGATATCTTTGAACCTTTTAAGCTGTAAGACATTTGAGCTTAGTGATCATTAAGCTTCAGCCGTTTTGGTTTATCAAGTCGTCAATCGGGAGACATTTTGCCCTGACGAGGCCTCAGGTGTCTTTGTTTGCCTCCCTCTCCTTC